TAAAAAACTTTCCTTTACTATTTATAAATAAAAGCCTACTTATTAAGGGCTTTTATTACTTTTTATTTATTTAGCCTCGTATATTTTTTAAAAACTAACGGAGTAAAAAAAGAGTAATTAATATTATTAATTTTATTATAATTTAATTCGTTAGTATAGGGGGCGAGATTTTCTTTATTTTTTAAATTTTTTATAGGGGGTAAATATTTTAAGTTATTATTATAGTTATTATTACTAGGTTTTATACCCCCGGATCTATTTTTATATATAATAAGGAATTAGCTAAATTAATAAGGGCTAGTTTTACTGTTTATTACCTTTAACTTTTTATATTATTTATATAATTTAATATACTCCTTTTTAAAATAATTATTTAACTAATATCTATCTTTTTTATAAATAAAATATTACTTTTTTTATTACCTTATTTATAAGTTAAATTTTTACTTATTTAATAAATCTAGGCCTCTTTATTAATAATTACCGTACCTAGTCTTTTCTTTTTTTTTATATATTTAGTTAACTTAATATTATTAATAAGGGCCGTTATATATTTAAAAATAGGTTTAGCGTAATATTTTTATTTTAATATTAAAACTAAATCTTAGCTTTAAATAGAGCGTTTTATAGTTTTTAAATACTTAGTATAGGGTTATTTTTATTTTTAATATGTACTAAACTATAATATAAAAATATTTAACTTTTTACTTATTAATTCTCTTATTTAGTTAGGTTTTTACTAGCTTATTAATTTAATTAATAAGCTTTTTAAAAATTTCTATTTATAATTTACCCTCTACTATCCTAGTTATAAATATAAAAAAATTATTTATAGCTTAGATAGGAGCTTTAAATTTTTATTATAAATTTTAAAGCGGCTTTAAATTACGTTAATAATACTAAAAAAGTCGTTTTAATTAAAATTACGTATTATTTCGTAGTAATAATTAGAGGCTTTATTTATAAGTACGATATTAATTATTAAATAGTACTAATATTCCTTGATCCCAATTTTTTTATAGTAATTATAAAATATCGTTAGGGTTTTTTATAAAACTTCGTACTTTTTTTTAAAATATAATTTCTTTTTTAAAAAGATCTTTTTAAAATTTATAAATTATTTCGTATTTATTACTATATTTTTAATATTTATATATAATTTTTACGTTATTACGTATTATTAATAATTTTAAGTTATTTATTTCTTTTTTTATTAGCTAATTAGCGCTAAATTTCGTATTAATAATAATAACGAGCTATAAATTAAAATAAGTAGAATTATTAATTATTATATATCTAATATTATATTTTACTTCTATATATCCTTTTATAATAATAAATTATTATTAGTAATTATAAAAAAGAAATCTAAGTCGTTTACCCTTTTTTTAAATTTATTAAAGTAATTATACGCTTTATTAACTTATACCTAGTTCTATAATACGAATTCCTTTTTTATAATTATTATTATTAAGATTTTATATAGTTTTCGTAATTATAATTACGCTAGTAATACTTTTTATTTATAAAAGAATTTATTAATTATTTTTATAATTCCTAAGTTTATACTTATAAACTATTTATTTAGTTAATAACTAAGGTTATTTACGATTTTATAAAATAGGGGTTACTCCTATAACCCCTTTTTTTTATAAACTTTAGTTAAATAGATTAATATTATATTAATTTACTTATTATTAAGCTAATTTATAATCTTATATATTTACGTTCCCTAATAGTTTAAATTAATATTTATTTATTTATAAGGGATTAGGATTTTATTTAGGATCGGGTTTTTTTTTTTTTTTTTTTACCCTAACTTACTAAGGGTTATACTTTAGCTTATACCTATATTAATAATTATTAATATATTTAATTTTAATAAAAATATATTTAATTTACGTATTAATTATAATAAATCCGTACTTTTACTACTTAATAAATTTATTAGGGTTTAAATAATTTCTACTTTTTCTTACTATTTTATTACTACTCTCGTTTTTATTATTTTTAATAATTATTATTACTTTTCTAAATTATTAGTTATTATACTTACTAAGATCCTCTTTTTTATTTAATATAAAAGGGTAGGTTTTAATAGTTCCCTTTTTAATAATAATAATAAACGTTTATATTATTATAAAAAGATATAATAATTAGTCTTAGGATTTTTACTAATTATTAATTTTTATTATTTTATATATTTTTAATTTTTAACTTCTTAGGCCTCGTATTTTATATAATCTCTAAATTACCTCTTTTTTTAACTTATTTTTTTAAAATAATATTTTAAAAAAATAATTAAAAATAAATACTAAGCAGTTTATAAAGGAGCTAAATAAGTAGTTAGGAGCTAGATAGGTAATTAAGTATAGTTAGTAAAGTTAAGCCCTCTTTTTTATAAAATTATAAGTTTAAAGGACTTATTAAAAATACTACTCGTTACTTATACTAAGTAGGGCTAATTACTTTAAAGATTTTTTTTTAACTACTTCTTAATACCCTATTTTATATTTTTTAAATAGTTTTTTTTATAACTTAATTATTATTAAGTAATTATTACTTATTAATAATTCTTTTTATTACTTAGTTAATTTTTTAAAATTAATAATTTTATACTAAGAGCTAATATAAAAAAAAAGTTTTTTAATAACTTTTTAAAAAATCTTTTTTTTTTTTTTAAAATCCTCGTTTTTTTAGCCTTTTTTTAAGCTAATTATAATTTTAATAAGAAGTTATAAAACTATTTTAGGGTAACTACTTTTTTTTTAAATTAATTTTTAAGATTTATAATATTCTTAGCTCGATATTATTAAGATTTTTAAATTCCCTCTTTTTTTATAAAACCGTCCTTTATATTATATTCCTAAATAATACTTAGGAAGTAATTAAAAAAGTTATAAAGAGGTTATTTAAATTATAAGCTTATAATTATATTTATAAAATTTTTATAATAATAAACTTTTTTATATATTATAAGTCTCTTAACTTTATAACTTTTATAAAATTACTTTTATTATTAAATAAAAATATTTATATTTAAAAATCTTTTTTTTTAATTACGTAGTACTTTTTTATATTATATTATCGAGCTCGTTTATTATACTAATTAATTAAGTAAATAGTTATTATATAAGTATTTCCTTTTATTAATTTAACTAGTTAATTTTTAATTACGGGCTAATTATAAGAAAATTATTTAATAAAAAAGCTATTTAAAGTAATAATAAAAGACTAGTTACTTAAGTAGTTTTATTAATTAACGTAATTTAATATAATAAACGTTGACCTTTTGTAAATAATAAAGGGCTATAATTACTTAATTCTATATAATATTTAAGAATTACCTCTTTTTTTATTTATTTTTATAAAGTTAATTAATACGAATTTTTTATTTTATATAGTATTAAAAAGTCGTCTTTTTTATATAGCGAGATACCTTACTAATTTATAATAATAAAATTTAATTACTAATTAGTATTAATATTCTTATTATAAGGTAATTAGTTTAAACTATAGGTTAATAAAGAGAATAATTAAACTATATAAATTTTCATATAAGTATAAAAAAGAGGTTCTAACTATAAGTTAGGCTAGTTATAATAATTATAAATAAGGCCCTTAATTAGCCCCTGCGTAGTTAGTTATATACCGTAATTAAATTAAACTTCTAATCCGATAGTTATTAATAATACGCTAAGAAAAGTAATACCTGCACTAACGCGAGATTATAAGTCTATAACGATGTTTTGCGTCTCGCTTCTGCTCAATATCTTCTTACCGCGGTTAGAATGCAGGGTACCTTGTGCCCGATATAGAAGCGTTTGCTCCTCCCTCTTTCACAATGGTACCGGACGCGTCGAGATTGCTTTGCCTACCTGCTGCATGCAAGACTCTTTGTCATTGGGCAGACCCCTGGACACTCACCACTTGGCGCTTCGCACCAGACGGCCCTTGCTTCGACTTTGCCGCAGCGATGGCCACACAGGCATGGTCCCAGCCCTCCCACAACAGAAAGATTGCCTAGTCTCCCGTGAATTCTCCTAACTTGGGGTGTCTTGAGCTAGGCTAACCACACCACCTCCGAGTCATTACGACGACTGACTGGTCTGAGTACCTTGTTATCGAAGAAAGTTAATTCTTTCTAAATTATAAATATAAGAATATAGTTTTAATAAAATAGTATAGTATTTATTTAGTATTTAAATTAAGATACTTTTTTAAATTTATTATAAAAAAAAGATAATTATATTACTAATTACTTATTATTAAAGTTTATAAATAGTACTATAGCTTTAATTATAATAGCTTTACTTATAATAAATAAAAAATTTAATTATAAGTTTTTTAAAAGTTTTTAATTAAGAGCTATAAGAGTTTCTAAGTTAAGTTAAAATACTTATTAAAATATTAATAATTAAACTAATTTTATAATAACGACCTTAATAAAAAACTTAGTAAATAATATTAAAACCCTTATTAATATTAAGTATAATTTACGAAATATAATAACGTAGCTATAGAGTATTATTAATATATTTTATATTAAAAAGGGTATTATTAATATTAATAAAATAGATAAGGCCGTATTAATATAATACTTTAGTTTCTTTTTATAACTTAAGGATAATTACTTTAAATAGTATTAAAAGTTTATTAAAAAGCTCTTTTAAATATTTTAATATATTTATTATTATTTTTATAATAATAAGACTCTTAGTACTTATATATAAAAATAAGTTATTTATTTTTAAATAATAATATTAGCTTATTAATAAGTTATTAAAACTACGATTTTAGCGATCCCTTAATAAGGGAGAGGGTAAAATAGAAGAAAGAATAAGTAATTTATAAAAAGGGTTAAGGTTAAATAGTACGGAATTCGAGGGTAGGGTAGCGTCTATATGTACTGCGGTAATCCTCTAGTAATATAAAACGATGGAGTTAAACAGTGCGACTGACTGGTCAAGCGAACAACTGGGTGGTTCGATTCGCCGACAATGCCACCGAAAACTACGATGGACCACGACGCTGCAGGAAGACAAACTGAGTCTATATATCCGTATACCGCATCGAACAATGTTTGCTCCGCAGCCAAGAATTAGTACAACGGGCCTGTCAAGATTAAAATAAACGAGGGAACGATCATCAATAACATCCGACCGGTGACAAACAAGACTTCGTACTACATCACAGTTGTTCCCGATGGACGATTTCCCACTGGCACATCAAGCCCTTCCGACAAGCGCGATACGGAAAATCCGGTTGAGGAGGATATTTCCCATGGTTCATCCAAGACAACACCCACTTCCGACGGTCGGCAGATCTCGCTACCCAGCAGCGTTGACCAAGCCAAACATGCACGTCTCCCGTATTGGGTTGCTTGTTCTCCTCGCATTAGCTGGTTAAGGACGATCATTCGCCATTCAAGCCTGCGGGCTTACGGCCTTATCTGCGGATTTCTGATGTGGTGAGCTGCACGACGAAACTCCAACCAAAACGCGAATTCCGCTAACACAAGTCATTCGACAGCTTGATTTCCTACTATATCGGCACTCTACGTCACTCCGAAAGCATTCGCTAAAAGTGCCTGAGCACTCCGATCCTCTAGTAAGCCTGATGCTTCGGCGCTGTTGAGCAGCATACACACCTCCTCATACAGTCTGGTCGACTGGCTGAAGGCCTATAATTACTGCAGGACTTCACCGGAACCACAGAATTTTGTATTGCGGAAAACAACACTATGTGGATAGGCGTGATCGGCACTGGTCGAAGTCTTGAAAGCAACATTTAGAGAGCAAGTCTACACATGTTCTTGGTAATATCTTCGTCTAATACCTCAAGAATTTGTCATATCCAGAATAGAGAGCTTCTTCATCATGTACTCGTTCGGGATCTGAGTCACTCCGTCTCTAGCGGTGCTCAACGCAGCTTTCTCCCATTCGTCGCAAAGACGGAGCTGCTCTTGACATTTTTGCCTGATGACCTCAACGGAGTCAACTCCAATCGGCACCCTGATTGGGAACGCCTTGTTGGCTGCTAAGCCCTGCCCTTTGATCACGTCCCAAATGACTGGCGGTAGCTTGTCCACGGATGATGGGAGGTTTGGGAAGACTTCTGTCGCGATTTTCCCCATAGCTTCACCATACAGGCCTTGGTAGTCTGCAATAGTGGGGAAACCAGGAGGAGGTCCCTCAGACTGAGGCTTGTCTTCATTCTTGTCGTTTATGGCAGTATTGACACCACCGGGCTCGAAGATAACGGCTTTGATACCGAGATGAGCAGTCTCCCTCTGGAGACTCTCCACAAACACTGCTCAATGATTAGACTCGTCGTCTTATTTCATTCGATCCCCCTCATCTGGTTTGGGCCACTTACTTGTGAGTGCACCTTTGGCCATGCCATAAGTCAACATACCCACTTCCTGGCACCCCCCTGTTTCTGGCACCCACAAAAACGCGAAAATCCACCACAACCCAATGCCCACCCCCAACCTCCTTTTATCACAACATTTTCAATTCGCGTCCAAATGGGCTCATCTTTTGCACATGTCTTCTTCTATATATAATGCCTCAATATACCGAAGATCAGCTTCGTCAGGCTCTCGAGGA